GAACTAGGAGTCAACATGCTCTTAAAAGTTTTGTCAAAAGGTTAACTAGGTTTTAAATGGGACCGATGTGACCCCTCCAGACTTCCTGGGAACATTCTTGACCATGTTCGATTCTAGGTTAATTGGTGAGACAAGTTTTGAATTAAATTTTCAACTATGGGATTTTCTAGTGTTAAGTTCAGTTTTTTGAAAAACAAAATAGTGAAATTCTATTGTGATTTTTCAGAAATGGCTTCAAGAGGTGACAGTAGAAAAATTGTTCCACCTGACAACCTTAAGCCTTGTGAGATTCTTAATGGAAGATCTAGAGAGATCAAGTGTGATTGAAAGAAATCATAAAGATTGCATGATAATATCTCTGAATTAACCAGAGGCAATTAGTATTTTATCCTTGTGTCAATTATAGCATAAATGATTGCTATATGACTTTGCTTGAAAGTAAAGATGAGACAACCCGTTAGGGTGTGTGAATATATTTTTGAATTTTTAAATTCCAAATATATTCTTAAATTAGTGGCTCCTAGTGAGTACAAGATCACTGATCACAGAGATAGAACTGGTGGTTCCTAGGAGGTGTAAGACCACTGGCTGCATAGTTATGTGATTGTGGTTCCTAGTAGTGAACAGATTACTGATCACATGTCTTGATGGTTCCCAGTAGTGGAGAGGCTACTAATCATATGTCAAGACATGATGATTCCGAGTAATGAAAGAGTATTGATCCTATGTCAAGACGTTGTGATTCCTAGTAGTAAAGTGACTACTGATCACAGGTTAAGACATTGTGATTCCTAGTAGTAGAAAGTCTACTGACCACATGCTGAGAAATTAGTGATTCTTAGTGATAAGACTACTGGCCGTGTTATGAAGCTTCGAATAGTAGACTATTGAACATTGGATTTGTGTTTCCTAATAGTAAGACTATTGGCTTCAGAGTAAATTAGTTGATGACATTCTGGGAATGTATTTAACTGTGATATGATTTTGAGAATTTCATAATCATTGTGACATAAGGAATTGTTTAAAGACCCAGTATGAATTTCTGGAAAAGGCCAAAAGCCTTTATATAAATTCTACAAATATGGGAGTGTCATGCAAAAAGTGATAATAGCTAAACCCAAGAGGGCTAGGATAAGCCTAAAAATCCGTTGACTTTGTATGCACATAATAGCAGTGCATATCGATTTCTTGTGTATAAGTTTGTTATTCCAGATATACATAAGAATACTATCATGGAATCAGAAAATGCATCTTCATTTGAAAATGTATTTCCTTGTCGTCTCCAAAAAGGGATTCAGAGTTCCGTGAAAGAGGTTGAAGGTGACAATGATCACATAGCTGATCAAACAAATGATTACATAGATGATCAAGTTGAGGAAGTAGATGAGCCAAGGAGTAAAAAGGCTAAGACCGCAAAGTCCTTTGGTCCAGACTTCTTGACTTATATGTTAGAGGGAGAACCTCGAACTTTCCATGAAGCTGTGATTTCATCTGAAAGTCCTTTGTGGAAAGAAACAATTAAGAGTGAGATTAACTCCATCTTACAAAATCATACTTGGGAGTTGGTTGATCTACCCCCAGGTAGTAAGGCCTTGGGGAGCAAGTGGATCTTTAGAAGAAAGATGAAAATAAATGAATCAATTGGTAAGCATAAAGCTAGGCTAGTTATCAAAGGATACAAGCAACAAGAAGGCCTAGATTACTTTGATATGTATTCACCTGTGAAAAGGATTACATTCATTCACATAGTGATTGCGGTAGCAACTTTACGTGGTCTGGAGATACATTAGATGGATGTAAAGACAACTTTCTTAAATGGAGATTTGAATGAAGAAATCTACATAGAGCAACCCGAGGGGTTTTCAGCTCCAGGACAAAATAAGAAAGTCTGTAAGCTTATCAAATCATTGTATGGTTTGAAACAAGCTATTAAGCAATAGCATGAGAAGTTTGACAACGTTATGTTGTCAAATGGATTTAAAATCAATGAGTGTGATAAGTGCGTATATGTTAAAGACACTGACAGAGGTTATGTCATTTTGTGTCTATATGTTGATGACATACTCATTGTTGGTGGTAATGATGAAATGATTAGAACTCCCAAGAGATTGTTAAACTCCAAGTTTGACATGAAAGGTATAGGCCTTGCAGATGTCATTTTGGTTATTAAGATACCAGAACATCTAGTGGTATTGTACTTTCTAAGTCTCATTATGTTGAGAAAATACTTGAGAAATTTGGTAAATCAGATACAAGTGTGTCTAGGACACCAGTAGATATGAGTTTACATTTGACCAAGAATAATAGTGAGAGTGTCTCTCAGCTAGAATATTCTCAGGTTATTAGAAGTTCGATATATCTGATGAGTTGTACAAGGCCAGATATAGCCTACTCTATTAGCATGCTTAGTAGGTACACGAGTAATCTGAATGTCACCCATTGAAGAGGCATTACGCGGGTGTTAGGTTATCTACCGTACACTCGGGATTATGGGCTGCATTATAGCAGATACTAGCGTTACTAGAAGGGTATAGTGGCTCTAATTTAATATCTAATATAAATGACTCCAAATCCACTAGTGGTTATGTGTTTACCCTCGGAGGGGAAGCCGTGTCTTGGAAATCTTCCAAGCAAACGTGTATATTGAGATCAACGATGGAATTTGAGTTTATTGCTTTTGATAAAGCAACTGAAGAAGCTGAATGGCTTCGCCAGTTCGTTAAGGATATTCCACATTGGCCGAGGCTTGTGCCTGCTATCTGTATTCATTGTGATAGCCAATCGGCAATTAGACGGGCATAGAGTCATATGTATAATGGAAAGTCTAGACATATCCGTCGTAGACTTAATTCCATACAACAACTACTCTCTGATGGAGTTGTCTCTCTAGACTATGTAAAGTCTAAGAACAACATTGCAGATCCGCTAACCAAAGGGTTAACTTCAGAGTTAGTAGAAACGTCGTCAAGAGAAAATGGGGTTAAGGCCTTTAGTAATGTTACCAGAATAGAAAACCCAACCTAATTGACTAGAGATCCCAAGATCTAGGTTCAAAGGGATAACCTAATTGCGTGTAACGGAGGAGTCCCTGTGGAGGCAAATCCTCCTGCCCATTCCTTTATACAGTGATACCTTGTTGGGTGGAAGGTTAAGCTGATGCTTTTAATGACCTAAGTGTTGTGAATAGGCAACTGTTGTATAGAGAAATACCTTATGTAGGTCACCTATGTGAGTGTGAAGTGGGGCCGCTTCTTTAAGAATTGGCAAGGCTGAATTCTTTAAAAACACTCACTGAACCAGGCTAGTGCTCAGGGCCATACAGGGCACACTAGTAAGAACAAAATGGTGGTAGAAGTAATTCCTATGTGAGATCTATTGTCTCAGTTTACATAAATGGCAGAGCAATTCAAGATGTCATATCCACTTATCAGCTAGCAAACTCGATAGGTTTTCACTGGGAGAGGTTCAAAGTCAAAAGCTACCTTCTCTAATGTTGGGGTTAGTCCGTTGTACTCTCTCTCCGAGTCATTATTGTTGAACGATGTCCGTTTGTTGAGTCATTCGATCAATTTTTATTCATGTGGGTAATTGTTGGAAAAATGGATTTTTGGTGACTTTAATTAAATATTAAAGTGGATCTTAACCATCTGTTGTGTTGGGTCCAAGTGGGTCTAGATACTTTACAATGAGATCTTTACACCACAAAAAGAATGGCCAAAAATCATTGAGAATAAAATGAGAAATTGCCTCATGAAGTTAGCTTCATGAAAGAGCTAGTGGGATTAATGTATATAATATGTTTGTAACTCCTACAATATTGCAGAGGTTAATGGTGCGTTAGTGATCAACCGTAAAGCTGGCGGCTCCTCCTCTCTCCCCTATATATGTATAAATTGAGACCCTCCTATCTAGTCTCAACACCGAAATTTTTGCTTCCATTTTATAAGTCAGTTTGCCAGAAAGTTCCTACAGTGAGAGAGTGCTGCCACGGTTTTTGTTTGCTAAGCTAGACAGAGAATGCTTCTGCCGTAGCTGGTTTTTGACCGTCGTATCTTAGAAGACAGACGCCGAAATTCCTCAAGCACTCAACCTATGAGATAGCGAAAATTTGTTTTAAGGAAACTGCTACCGTGCAAGTTTCGGTTTGCTTTCTTTACCATTTTAATCTATTGGGTATTTCTGTTGTAATTTAGTTATAATTCTTAGCATGTGTTCTTCATATATAATTTTGATTTATTCATGAATCTATTTATTTAATTTCACAATTTAGACAACAGTAATGACATGTCATTTGACATGTAATTTTTTAGATCTACATTTGACATGTAGTTGTTAATATAAAATTTTGGTCAATAGAATCATGGGGCTCTAATCTAGTTGGTTAATTTTTTGGTCACCAAGTTTATTCTAAAAAGGAAATCTTACGTTTCACTCTTAGGAGTGAAATGGGAGTGCAAAATTTTCTTATAAGATGTATGGGTGTCAGTTTAACTCCGTCGAGATACTAATCTAATAATTAATTATTAACTTTATCCGATAAAAAATATATAATTATTTGGATATTGGAAATATCTATAAGAGAAAAATAGATAAAAGGTTCATCTCGAGCTCCAATCAATTAATAATAATAAATAAATTTTTACTTTTTTTTTTTTTGAAACAGCCAACAGAGAATTATATTAATGAAGAACAAGCAAATACAATGAAAGAGCCCCCCAGTTGGTAAGTCACCAGTCCAAGGGAAAGCAGAACACAAACACCAGCCCAAGAAAAACCAGCTGCAAATCCAAACAGAGATTATGCAGAACAGGAATAAGCAAAAAAGAACAGAAAAAAACCAGAAGCAAAAGCCACCAACCCCCCAAACTTGACCTTCCATCATTGGGACCCCCACCAATGAACTTTACAAGACCAAAGTAACCAAACACAAAACCAGAACAGAGGGTTATAAGCAAACAGCATCTTACTTGCCTCTAATACAGCATCTTATTTGCTTAAGATTAACTAGAAAATCCTGCACAGAAAAGAAAGTGCTTAGAGAACCTTGGTTTCAGCCATAAAGCAATTCTCACCTTAATCACTTCACACAACTCCTCCAAGTTTGGAGCAGATGCCTTAAACACTATAGCATTCCTGTGCTGCCAAAGAGACCAAAGCACAACCAGAGGCACTCCTCTCCAGATCTTCCTCTCCTGACTCCTAAACCATTGTCCTTCCCACCATAATAAGACTCCATCAACAGATTCAGGTAGAGCCCCCACAACATCCCACCATAGCAGCATTGCAGACCATACCTTCCAAGCAAATGGGCAGGAAATCAACACATGATTAACAGTTTCTGGGTCATCAGTGCAAAAGACACACAGAGTTGAAGCAGAGTTGTTAAGGGCACCAATTCTTTGTAAGTACACTGCAGCCTTAACCCTATTTCGCCAAGCTAACCAAGTAAAGAATTGAACTTTTGGTGGCATGTAAGGGATCCACACTAATTTAGTAGACCTTAACAAAGGGCCAATTGAAGCCAGCAAACCTGTGTAAGCAGAGCAGATAGAGAATACCCCAGATGATGTTGCATTCCATACTGGACAATCAGTTTGATCTGGAACAGGACTAGGTGTTGTTGCCAGGAAGTTTCTGAGTCTGAAAACCTCACTAACCTCCCACTCATACAGCCTCCTTCTGAACTGACACACCCAATTACCTTCAACAACCTTTTGGTCATGCATTGATCTAAG